TAGCTATTTTTATAAATTATCACTTCATATTTTTAAATAATTAGAAATATTTTAGAACTATACCAATTTTTTGTTGTTTTATGTATATAAGTATCAATATGAGTTGTTATTTCAATGTCACTGGAAATGTACTTATTCTACAGTATTCCATACAGCAAACAAAAGTTGACTGAAAAGTGAGAGACAGTTCTTGGTACAAAAAAGGAATAAAAATATATACAAGATTCAATCTATGCCTTTCACCTGAAAAAATAAAATGAATACATGTGTAAGATAAAGTAGAACTTTTAAATATTATATATTGTGTGTGATGTATACATTAAAAAAGAAGAAAATAGATTTTCAAGAAAAAAACTTCCTTATCCCTAATCTGAGCTGACAACATAATTAGGATCCTGACAGTCCAAAATAGACCATAAATGCCAGGAAAGAGTCATTCTTAAGAACTGTACCAAATTAACATTTTATAATATATAGAAGTTCCTTATGTAAAGTCAATTTTGCTTCTTCTAGAGAGCTTAGTATGTGGACAATATTTTAATTAGTAATAAAACTATAAAAGTAAATATTTAAAAATCAGACCTGTATTCTGAGCTTCCAATTCTTGGCTCCCAGAGGTGTAAGAAAAATGGCAAGGGGTAGTTGGCAACACGACTGACTACTATGAAATTCAGAGCTAGTAAAGTATCAAAAATAAGAGATTCTAAGAGTTTATTAAATATTTGCATTAAATATACAAATAGAATCTTCTAACTATGTAGTATTAAATAGAACAATTTTAATTGAACTCATCAGGGAAGAGATGTTAATTAAAATAAAGTGAACCATAACTCATTTCAATTTAACAATAATTAAGTGAAAAACAAGTGCAGTTAGGTCCAAGAATCCCTTCTAATAAAGTACTAATGGACATCAGACTATTTATGTACCCTAGTCTCATTTAAAAATACATTATTCCTCTGGGATCAGATTCACCATATTCATAGTTAAAGTTATATGGCTTACTATGCTCTATAAATAAGCAATTTTCTGATGACATTTATATTTGCTTATAACATTTTATAACACAAATGTATGTATTTCAAGATTTCATGCTAAGTTAAAATATATATGTACACCTCTGATTACAAAGAAAATTCAAACTAGATCCTGGAAATCCTCTATAAATTATTTGCATTTTCTATGTTCCTGAGTTATACTATTAGAACAATAAATAAAGGTGTGTGTGTGTGTGTGTGTGTGTGTGTGTGTGTAGAAAGAAAATGAAAATTTCCAGTATGGCCAACTGAATTTGAATTGATCCAACTCTCCCACAAATAACAACTACTATTCCTGGACAAAATGCAAATAAATCCAAAACACAACAAAAGCTAGAAGTATAGCCCAGATAACCATGAATAGAAAAATGGCTAAGTAAACATTGCTATATTCAAACAGGGGGAGGCCACTGGGACTTTCAGAAAAGAACTACTGATAGATAAAATAATATAGATGAATCTCAAAACTTTTATATAGAACAAAAAAATTCATATAAAAGAGTCTATGTAGTATGACTCTTTTCCATGAAATTTTAAATAAGAAAAAAATTAATTGATGACATGATAAAGAAACCAGAACAAAGAATCTTAGAGGTAGCGCAGGAGGAACTTCCTAGACTGATGGTAATTTTCAGTATCTTGACAGGTCAGAACTCAGCACTTAATCAAACTTCAGTTAACCTCAGTTAACTCAGCTTGGTTGAGATCTGTACATGTTCCTGCATACAAATGTTATTACCTCAAAAGAAAAAAACTCTAGACTAATGAAGTCTAGTAAATGATACTCATATGCTAATATATTGAATGTGTTGATGGCTATAATTTATATTGATAAGCATCAAAAAAATAGAATAATAGAGAAGCACAATTAGATGAATAAATGTGCGATATAGCAAATATACTAAAATATTGGTAGCAAAATATAGGTGTAGGTATGTGGTTATTCACGGTAAACTTCTTTCAGCTCTGATGGTTTCATTATAAATGTTTTAAAAACAAAAAAGAAATGACAATAAATTACTGTAAAACAATTCCTATCAGAGTAATATGTCCTTTTTCATTTAAAAGGGTTACTACTAGATTTGGTTAATCAAAGAAAATTATAACAGATTTTGGGTTCAAATAAATTTGAATCTCTCTGGTCAAGGCAAGAAACACCTAACCAGAATGCTTAAGTAAAGATGCTAATGGCTACTGTTGTGTATACCATTTACTCGATGCTTTCCAGCTGTATAGCAATCTTATGGGTAAATGCTATTATCTACATTTTACCAATGGGAAACTAAGGCATGGGTGGCATAAAGTAATTTGCTCAGCGTCGAAGAATCTAGGTTGGAACTCCTGCTTCCCTACTCTTGCTTCAATAACTGACTTTGTTAACTGCATAAATTAAGATCTGGTTTGTTTCTCCAGTTTATGATGGCATAAAACTAGGAGAAGGAGATATTACAAAATGTCCAAAAGATGGGCCCTCACTGGTGGCGCAGCGGGTTAAAGCGTAGTACTGCAAGTGAGCTATAAAATGTCCAAAAGGTTAAGGGCCATGTAGGAGAGACTACCAAGGTAAAATTCTAATGAGATAAAATATAAGATCCTGTATTTGAGTCTAGACAACCAGCATTACCTCCAATGGCAATACTGGTACAGAACAGAGAGTTGATAAAAACCTGTCAAGTAAATATATGACTGATAGAATAAGGAAAAGTAATAAAAAATTAAAGGCCTTACTCAACCAAAAACGGAATTTGACAAATAATGTGCAAGATGCTAATGTCTAGAAGTAGATTGATGAGAGCTCTACAAAACTAATCTTTTCAGAGTGATGCCAGATACACTGTGCTAACTTTTTAGGAATTACACAGTACAGATATAGAAAAACTAAAATGATTTTAGAATAAAAGTACAGGTCTTAAAGATGTACTGTCTAAGGTACAACTGAAAAAGCTGGGAATGTTTAACAGCAAAAAAAAAAAAAAGAACTCAAATGAACATAGTAGCCACCCACAAAATGTTAAGATACTGTCATGACAAAGAGTCATACTAAATCTGTAGTTGCCCTTAAATGTAAAAATGAAGTCAGAAGCTACAGGAAAACAAATTCTGTGGAAATACAAAGGTGACTTTTTAAAAGAAATATCATCTAAAGAAAAGGTATGGGGAGATGGCATTCTCTCAGAGGGTTTACAAAATTGAACACCCTAAATATAATAATCCAATGAAAGATTAGATCAAGATAACTTAAAGATCTCTTTCAAATCTAAGAATGTATTACATAATAAGAAGTAATTTGTATAAGACTGTCATAAAAGTTTCAAATTGATTGAAATAGTCATACCATTGCCAAAGTAGAATGTAAATGTAAAAATAAGGAAAAAATAAGAACATGGAAGTAACTTATCATTTCTGTACAACTGTTCATTGTTTTTAAGCCTAAAACAATGGAGCCAAATTCAAAAATAAAATGTATACACATGAACAACATTAAAAGGCAAACAACAAAGCTATGCAATTAAGAAAAAGGGATTATATCTTTAATATAGAGCTGTGCTGTCCAATACAGTAGCCACAAGTGACAATTTTGATTTGAGTTTATTTTAAACATTAAAATTGTTTCCATGATTGCACTAGCCACATTTCAAGAACTTAGTAGTCATTGTAACTACTGGATTAGACAGTGCAGATATAGAACATTTCCATAATTGCATAAACTTCAAATGGAACTGTAATATTTAAAATAGAATAACTTAGTGCAAAAAGCCATCACATAATTGACAGAAAACTGAGATGCCAAGTAGCAGGTTATGCAATAATCCAGAAATTAACATCTCTAGATTTGAAAAATGTCCAACTTCACCAATAAATACATATTAAGTGGAACAATCGATAACTAAAATAACAATATCAGATTAACAATAACAAATAATAATTCAAGTACTTAGTATAGAGAAAATATACTAATATACTCCTAGAGAAGAGAATTAATCTTCAAAATTTTGGAACAGTTTTACAATTTGATCAATGATTTTATATTGTGAGATCTGAAGGCATTTCCAAGGATAAATCCAAAGTCCAGAAATCTTTAGACCAGAGAGTAATTTTAGAAACAAAGATGTTCACTGCACCTTTCTATGTTAAAAAAAAAAAAAGATAACTTCAATGTCTACCAGTAGTTAAACAAGTAAATGAAGGAACCTCTATTCATTTATTCAAAATTACAGAGTTCCTATTTGCCAGCCACAATGATAGATGCTGACAATATTAAAATGAATAAAAGATAATAACATACTAATTTACATCCATTTAAATAATGTTTATGAAGGACTTCAATAAAATAGTTCACAAAAAATAGAACTTTTCTATATATGGGGATAGATCATGTCACAATATATACAAACATCAAGTCATTATATTGTACACCTAAAACTGATATAATGTTAGGGTGATTATATCTCTATTAAAAATATAAAAGACGGGCCCTCCCTGGTGGCGCAGCGGGTTAAAGCTAAAGCCACTTCAGCATGAGTTCGATCCCCGCCGCGGAGGAGATCCACATGGTGAGGCAGACCTCTCCTGACCCACCCGCTGCTCCCCTCAGCAGTGTATTTCATCGATCTGCCTGTTCTGCTCCCCTCTCTGTCTCTGGTGAATCCTCTCACCCTCCACATCGCTGGCCTTTACCCCAGTTCCATATGAATAAATAAATAAATCTTTAAAAAAATATATAAAAGACAAAATAAGGGCATGTTTATCATATGCCTGCTGAATATAAATATAAAATATATCTATACTCAAATATAAAATTGATTATGCTTACAGCAAACAAAATGTTAGTAAAAGGTTAGTAACAGTGGTTTCTGTTAAGTGGCAAATTTATGAATTTTTTATATTTTTCAGATCAAAACATTTTAAATTAATAAATTTTACAGTTCTCCCTGTAAGTCCACAACAAATGTGTTGGCTTACCTATTGCAATAATAAACTGCATTATTTGGATCCAGTTCTATTGCCTGTGTGTAACAATCCACTGCAGCAGCGTAATTTTCTTCTTTCATGTGGTTATTGCCTAAAATAATAGGTATAGTAAATACAGTATACCACAAAATAAAAGCAAATTCTGAAAGATGACATTTTACTCACAGCAACTACAAAAATATGAAGGTCAGTATCATGATTTTCAGTCACACTGGAGGTAAAGTTTATATTGAAGTATTGAGTTCATCTCCCTGAGCTTTCAGTTTGTTTGAGTGATTTTAACAATGCAGAGACTTTTTTTTAAAAAAAGATTTATTTATTTATTCATACAGAACTGGGGTACAGGCCAGAGACTGAGGGTGAGAGGCTTCACCAGAGACAGAGTGGGGAGCCGAACAGGCAGATCTACGAAGTACACTGCTGAGGGGAGCAGCGGGCGGGTCAGGAGAGGTCTGCCACGCCATGTGGATCTCCTCTGGGGCAGGGGGGGATAGAACTCATGAGGAAGTGGCTTAAGCTTCTTAGTGCTGTGCTTTAACCCACTGCGCCACCAGGGAGGGCCCATGCAGAGACTTTTTAAAAATAATGTTTGTATACCTTATAAAATCCAGGCTTTCATAATTAAGTACATATACCTACTTATACTTAAGTTCTTGCATATATTAAAAAATAAAAGTAGGACCCTTCTGGTGGTTCAGGGGTTAAAGTCTCAGCACTATCAAGCTATTGCAAACCACTGTAACATGAGTTCAATCCCTGGCCAAGGAGCTAACCCACATGGTGTAGCGGACCTCTCCTGTATTACCCACTGCTCCCCTCAGCAGTTTCAATAGATCCCCCTGTTTTGCTTCCCACTCTGTCTGTTTCTGGTGAATCCTCTCACCTACCCATACTTCTTGCCCATACCCCAGTTCTTATATATGTAAATTAAAAATGTTTTTAAAAAATAAAAATACTCTGGGTTATTGAGATTTTTGCTGTTGTTGTTCAGCCTTTTTGTCATAGATAATACTATTTTACTATTACTACTTTTTAAAATTCTGTTGTATGATTTTCCCCCAGATACTATAGACATGCTGCATGTATGTATATTAACATTAAGAATATGTACACATATTAACAAAAAAAAATCACAAACTATTTAATATGCAAAAATTGAACACACTGAAATAATTTGTGAAGATAAATATAACAAACCGTGAGACAGCAGCCTATAGTTACATGATACTTGCCTATAAAATTGTTTCTTAATTCTCAAGACAACCCTCTGAGGTTTGCATCCATATACTTCTGTGACATGTCAGGGAATGACAACAATGACATACTTGCTCTTTTGATCTTAACTGCTACTCTTCAGAAGGAAAGCACACAAAAATGTTTAAAACAATCTTCCAGGAAGGTACTAGCGACCTGTGTCATACTACACACCCTTTTAAAATGATGATATAGGTGTAGATTTATAAACTAATAGACCTAATACAGGCAAGAGGAATAGGAAAAGTATATATTTTTTCCATATCTACCCCTTTAAACACCAACTGACTTTTTTGAAACTCAATTACCTTCTTTGGCTATAAACTACGGAATGGACCAGAAAATGTCTCTAATTACTTTTTTATATAGATTTTGAATATGATATAATCCCTAATAACATCCTCCCTATAGAACAGGGGATTTATTGGCTCTCATTCACTGCTGAAGGCCAGGATTCTGCTATATAAGTTCTTAATCGTGTAGACATGACCTGGCTTTCCTCTATATTAACATAACTGACATAATGGGGAAAGTTAACACAGATCCTTAACAGAGTCTTACTGATGCATCAACAGCCACTATTAGAAAATTTGCTAGCCAATAAACACGTAAGTGCCACAGGGATGCACAACTTTCAAAGAACTCAAAAACACCAAATATGCAAAAATTAAAATAATGTTGGAAATTATTTGCCTCTTTTTGATTAAGCATAAAGAAGAATTTGGATCCTAGCATATATACAGCCTATGAATTACAAATAATCATGCTATAAGTAATCTCTTTGGCAAATTTTATGCAAAACAGGTCTGTTTCTTTTGAAATAATCATATGTATACTGCCCACAAACCACTCTGTATTGCCAGGCTTCTTCCACAGCACCTTCGTTTCTGTTTCCCAAGTGACATGACAATCTAGACCTGGCAGTGTAAACCAGACTCAGCAACTGACAGAGTCATTTTCTCCAGAGTTTCAGAAAGTTTTACTAAACACGTCATTTTTCCTATGAAATACTCACCTTCATCTTTTAGCTGGTCAGCTTTTCCCACATCTTCAGGCACTGAGTTTGAGAGTGGCAGAATCTCATTCTGAAATTAAGTAAAAATCAATTGTCTTTCCATTTAGCTACATAGAGTCATTCCAGAAAACTACTAAGTAAATAATGAACTGCCCACACTTTAGTAAATCATCTGTAATTCTACGTCATAAAATCTAACACCTATAGGTGTTAGCTAGAAATAGGAAAAAGTCTTTTCACATACTTTTATTAGAAAAATGACTGGAATTTTTCTATAGGGTAATGACCAACTGTGAACAGTACTTTTTACTCACTTTCCCTATACCCAGAAATACTTCGTGAACAAAATAAAAGACCAGTAACAAAGAATATGAATAGAATATGTTCAAGGAATTTTTTATATACTTTTTTACTAACCAATATACTTTTTTACATCTAAAAAAAATTTTCCCTACCACGCATTTTTGGCATCCAAAGTATCTGAGGATAAAAAAGGTCTGCTTCAGTCATTGCTGTATCCAGCTGCTGAAATAGGGTTCCCTATGGAGGTCACATGCCCAGACAATAAAAGAATCACAGTAACCAAAGAGGAAAAGGGGGGGATTTTCTGATAAGGAACATAGAGACATTACTATCTTGTAACATCTTCTCATATGATTAGAATTCATCTGTTTGATAAATTACCGTATAAGGGTATTGTTTTTCTTCCAATTATAAAAAGAGGAAAGAGTTCCTGCCAAATTATCATCTTTGCTGCAAATCTAAAACCTCTTCCCAATAACATCTAGGCACAATGTACTATTCTAGCAATATCCATACCAAGCTGACGTATGTTTCAGCTTCTTGCCTGGGTTGCTCATTATGTACTTAAGTTTGAATAGAGAACTAGAATATAAAAGTTCATGAGTGCCAAATGTGATGAAAAAATGCACAGAAGGTCACATTTAAGGCTCTGAACTCATCAAGTTCAAATAATCTTATGTTTCCTGAATAGGAGCCTATGCAGAAACCATTACCTCAGGAGCAAGGATCAGAAAACATCTTGAACACACACCTTTCTCTCATTTAAAGTCTCTTCAATGGCAGCATTTGATGAAATCTGCTTCAAAATGATGACTCAATTCCTAATGAATGTATTTTTGCATGGTTGCTTTCTTGATGTTAACACTTTTTTAAAACACATGTTCCATATTTTAGGGGAATGTCAAATAGATGTCAAAAATCTAGAAATATTCCAGTACTATAAAAGACTTAAAAAGTTGAGTAAGAAGCATCATTAAATATAAAAGATGGTGAAAGGACTATCATAATTACTAATAGGAAAATCTAAGCCACACATAAGAGAGATATTTTAGATACCAAAATGTATCCATGTATGCTATCTACCTTATATCAAAAAGAAGTGAGTTATTAATACGTCTGGTCCCTCAAATATCAATAGTCCAAAATAATAATGTAGTCATAATTAAATCAGATAAGAATGAGAAACAGTGACAGCTTACCTTACAGAAGGAACTTGTGAACATTTCTGTTAAAGGCTGCGACACTGCTAGGTGTGTATCTTCTGCGCTGATTTTAAACACTGTCTCCAAGCACTGAATTGCAACTTGAAATAAATTTTAATAGTGAAAAAAAATTAGCAGCCTTAAAAGAGAAACAAACTTTTTTTCTGGTAGGATTGCAACCTGTAGTAATTCAGCATTTATGATGATACAACAGAAGGAAAGCTAACTGGTTCAGTTGCATAGAGACTGTTGTTTATAGATCAGCTATTGAGGAAATACAACTAGATTACTTATTCATCACTTAAAGTGTTACCTAGAATATAATTTCTCAGTATATGCTTTATATCATATTTTCTTTGAAGCAAATCACTAACAGCAACTTACTCCCTACTACCAGTATCTGATTAATTACAATGTGTTAATAACCTGAACAAAATGTTTTTAATATTTATTTTTTAATGTGAGAAATAGAATTTCAACTTCATTTGAAATATAAAAGAAATTTAGCCTCTGGCATATAAAAAAAACTAAGTATTAATCCATGTATAATTATGTGAACAGAGGTAGGATTAAGAAATTCACTCATGCATCATATTTACCACACAGCTACTATATATAAAGGCACTGTTCTCAGGCAGTAAAGGTACAGTAATTACCCCAACAGACAAAAGTCACTATCTGCCAAGCTGAAATTTGCATTTAATAGGAGACAAACACAAAAGTAAAATACAAAGTATGGTAAGTGGTGATAGGTGTCTCATCTATACTTGGTGTCTGATGAGAGAACTGATATTACCAAGACAGACTTTGAGTGGAACAAATAGTATCTTGAAGGATTCAGTCTTCATGCCTTGAACAAACAAAGAGCCATCCCAGAGTTCAGTAAGTAGGATAACATAATTAGATTTTATGTTCAGAACTAAAAGACTGACAGAATTATCAAGAATTGCTTAGAGTAGGAGGCTGAGGGAGAAAATGGAGGCAGAAAGTCAGTGGATTATTTCTTAAATTATCTGAATTATGAGTCTGAGTTAGGGCAATAACAGTGAAGAAAGCACAGCCTGTCTTCTATTGAAGGGAAAGGAGGTGATTCTTATCCAGACGGCGCACTCATTTGAAAATGATGTCTCATGGGTCTACAAGATGAGAATGCAGCCCAAATGCCCGGTGTACTTCCAGACAGTTTGCAGTAGACTCATTTTGTGTGTGACTTTCAAAAGATACTTTATGTATTTCATTGTGGTCCTGAGAAAATCACCTCTGTCATACACACTATGACTTTCACTAGCTATAAAACAATTCTCCTTATAAAAGGAACTAAGTTTCCAACTATAAAAGTAACTTACAGAAAATAATCCACTGTTTACCCCTCCCTCATTTTCACCCTTTATAACCCTACCAAGCAATTGTTCTTATACTAAAAATACTGGACCACAAAAATATAGACTGTCATTGCCATGAAGACAGCAATAATAATAATAACAAAAATTATAATAATAAATTTATTCTTGATCACCTTCATTTCTCCTTGAGGTATTATTTCCTTTACAGTGCAATGTAGCTGGTTCTTGTTTTTATCTGTGTGCTTGTCATACTTTATTATATGAAATTACCTATATAACTCCTATATTTGACTGTATCCTATAGAACAATGCCTTCATTTAATTCACCTTTGACTTTAACAGTCTGGCAAATAGTAGATGCTCAATAAACTTAATCTGTTTCATTGTTTGCAGCTGATGTAAGAGTTTGATTTCACAGAAAATAAATTCTGTAATGAAGAACAATAACCTATCACCACCACCACCACCACCACCACCCCAAAAAAAAGGTAATTCACAGTCAAGTGAAAGATGGATAAAACCCAACCAGGCTCCTAACCAAAAACAATGTCAGGGAAAAAGTTAATGTGGTGACTCAGGGATTTTTATACTCTGTTTTCTATGGTAATGTAGTCCAGTCCCCTTCCTCTCTGCTGCACTAACTAACTTTAAAATAGGATCTGTCACACCCATACACAAATATCACTAACAGAGGTAGCTACTTTGTTTTGTTTTAAACACGATTATTTGGTTATTTTTTCTTAAGTCATTTTACTGAAATCAAACTGACCTATTAAAAAGTAGATATTTGAGGGCCCTCCCTGGTGGCGCAGCGGGTTAAAGCACAGCACAAAGAAGCTTAAACCACTTCCACATGAGTTCGATTCCCGCCTGCCCCGGAGGTGACCACATGGCCCGGCAGACCTCTCCTGAGCCGCCAGCTGCTCCCCTCAGCAGTGTACTTCGTCAATCTGTCTGTTCTGCTCCCCGCTCTGTCTCTGGTGAATCCTCTCACCCTCCGCATCTCTGACCTGTACCCTAGTTCTGAACGAATAAATAAATAAATCTTTAAAAAAAAAAAAAAAGTAGATATTTGGGCCCTCCGTGATGGTGCAATGGGTTAAAGTGCAACACTATGAAACTATCCGTGACCACTGCAGCACAATTTTGATTCCCCAGCCAGGGAGGTAATCCACATGGCGCAACAGACCTCTCCTGCCTTACCTGCTGCTCCCCTCAGCAGTGTATTTCAATCTATCTGCCTGCTCTGCCCTCCACTCTGTCTCTGGTGAATCATACAACCCTCCCACCCCCCACCTCTGGCCTGTTTTCCAGTTCTTGTATACGTAAACAATCTTTTTCTAAAAAGCCATCCATATTTAATGTATGCAATTCAGTGAGTTTTGGAATAAGTCTATGACCTATGAAACCTATACCATAATCAAGGCTAGAGACATTCTTTTCCTCCCAACCTTTCCTTCATGCCCCTTTATTATTTTGGGATCTAGTTGCAAACCAATGTACACGTTCAGATGTGGGGAGAACACAAACTACCTCACCAGGAATCAGTTTTTTTCCTCACCAACCTCATAATGATATTATTCAAGGAATAATATTCTTATGGACATGACTCATTAGAGAGTGAAAAATTGCTGATGTAGCTGATATAGGAGAGAATAAGTAATTTTTAAAAAGTGATATCCTGGCGTAAGGTTGAGAGGATTAGGACCAGAGGGTTCCATTTAGTAAGGACAATGGATCATTCCTCTATGGCATTTTTGTTTGTTTGGACTACAATAACACAATACCTTACACTGGGGGGCTTATAAATAAATTTATTTCTCATAGTTCTGGAAGCTGGGAAGTCCAAGATGAAGACACTGGGAAATGCAGTGTTTGGAAAGGGTACGCTTCCTAAAAGTTCATAGCCAGTACTCTTTCACCTTGTCCTCATGGCAGAAGGGGTAAGTGTGATCCTGGGGTTTCTTTTATCAGGGCACAAACCCAGATCTGCCTCCTAATCGCATTATATTAGGCATTAGGTTTCAACATAAGAATTTGGGAAACAACACAAATATCAGCTCCATAACATATGGTAGTAGACAAACAGGCAGGCAGAGTATGTGGGTGTAGAACCTAATGGGTGGGTACACAGAACAGGGAAAATCTGTGGCAGTTGTTTTCTTACTCAGTTTTCTTGGTGGAGTAGGAAGTAGGGTCATCAACTAAAAGTACAGGAGAGGAGTTTGGAGGTTTGAGAAGGCATGAGAAAGTACTAAAAGATTTGTCTAGGAGAGGGAAAATAGGAATAAACTTGGAGCTGATAGTGTGATTGCAAGCCAGCATTAACATTCTGTTTGAGGTTTATGGTCATGAACTTAAAAGGGGGCCAGTCAGCAATGTTCAGTTTTATTCCATCTAACATAGTAATATGGTGTGTACAAATACGAAAGGCAGATATGTATACAGGAGCTCTTATAATGATCAGCCACAAATTTTAAACTGGATAAACGGGGTTTCAAAATGTAAGGTAACAACAGGTTGAAGGTATTGGTGGGGTCAAAGAATTGTGATATGGATTCTGAAGGGAATAGACTGGAAAGATCAGTAATAGTGATCAGGAAGTGAAATTTTAAGGTATCAATATTATGGAGAAGATGCAGTTTGGGCCTCAGAACTACCAACATTTTGCACTGGATAACTCTTTGTTGCTGAGCAGACTAACCTGTATATTACACATAGTATGCTTAGCACCATCTAGATCCTCTACCCACTAGATGCCAGTAATATCAGGCCCCCCACTTCCCATCATGGCAATCAGAAATATTTCTAGACATTGCAAAATCACCCCAAGTTGAAAACTACCTGCCTAGAGCATGAACAAAGGAAAGATAAGTTGAAATTATTAGAGGAAAGAAGGTCAGGGATGAGTACTGAGAGAACTGGAAGAATCATTTATAAGCAAATTGCGAAGCTTCCAGGAAATTAGACAGGAATGCCAGAGAAAGTGACAATGAACAGGTCTCTAAAGTCAAAACATGAGGCAGATATCAGTAGATTACACCAATTAGGAGGACTGGATGAGAAAATCTGATGACAAGGTTCAAAACTAATGATACTCCAGCTTCACAATGGCGGTAAATCTGAGCCTAGAATGTAGGCTCCCCTCTGAGGGCTTTTTAAATGTCTAGAAGGTGGGCAGACATCTCCACATGATTTCATCTTCAATTAAATTAGACTCAGAGTCAAAAATAGGGGTCGGTCAAAAACAATTGGCACCACTATGACTGCCATATATAACAAACAGCTGAAGGCACATATTTTTGGCTAAATACCATCCTAAAAATAGGACATAACATCTTGGTTTTTAAAAAAAGAACCCAATTTTTTATCTAGGGTTTAAAAGTATGGTACAGACTTTAATTAGAAAAGAAACATCTTTTATTAAATAATAGGATGTATCTGTCTGCTACAGAAAATCATAACATTTTCTTTAGACAACCTGTCACATTTGTCTTCACAGTCTAACCATCAAGGAGAACCAAAGACTTTGATATTAAATGGACTGATTACAATGCACTCCAACTGTGTATCACCTGCTCCTCTCACCGCCACCTGGACAGACATCATCTCACCAGACTGTAAGCAGATTTAGAGCAAATGTCCAGTTTTCATCCCCACCTCCTAAAAAGCATATTCACAAGGGAAGTGTTTGTTGAAATTAATAGATATGTAGCCACTATAAGAAAAATGGCTTCAAAATAGAAAATTTAAATCATACTATTATCTCTTCAGTTCTCCCAAATGCACTATTTTCTTGCAATCACTTAGTATTCAGTCCACAAGGAAACTAGGTTCTTTGAACCTCTACAAATTCATCCGCAGAAATATGTCTTGTTATGGTTATAATGAATTTAAATTTTTAAATGCACAAACATGAAGTGCAAAAGATAGAATCAAGGAGTCACATGATGTTATCACCCAAGTCAGCTTTACATATCACAGAATCTAACACTTAAAGCTCACATAAAACAAGAGTGAAATCCTCTAACTTCAAATCCCCAAATAGCAAGTTGTATATACTAGCAGTATAATTGTTAGATATTTACATAGTGCTTTTATGATGACTAAGGTATTTTCACCTTTCGATTCTAAACTGAATGCTTTGCTATTAGGAAGAAAAGACAACAAGATCTTCAGAGTGAGTAAAAACCAGAATTTAAATCTCAGCATTGCCATGTATCAGCTAATGGTATTATGTTACTTATCCTATCACATTTCATTTACTTATCAGTTAAATGGGAATAACACTAGCAGTTATTAACAGTTAATAACAGTCACTGTGAATAAAAAATTTCCTATAATATGAATAGTACAGTTCAGACACATAATAGTTGTTCAATAAATGAACAATAGTCCTGCTGTTAGTTAAAATACAAGACAAGTAGCAGAGAATGGAAATATAATAACCTAATAACAAAATATTCTGACTTTGTTACAGTAGGTCAGAAATTACTTCATTTCTTCTTACATAATTATAACACAGATGAACACAAAGAATAGGTGCCTACCTTCCAAACTTTCTTGTTCATCCGAAGTATAAGCATCCATCTGACTTTGTTCCCGAAGGAAACGAATAACTGCATAGACTAGGTGCTTCATAGATGACATTTTAAAATCTTTAAACCCTAAACACTAAGAAAAATGAAAACACTAAACTAAGTTATTTTAAACAATCTGGAAGTTTGTAAATTACAAAGTAATAAATACGGAGGTGAAAGATCACATTAAAATTAAAGAACGAAAACCTTTATTACATTCAGTCCTAACTCTGTAAGAGTAGGGATAACAAAGTATTGTCATGGTAATGTATTATATATTTTCATCTATACCTAGTAGTATCAGAATATGTTAAATCTTGTAAAATAAGATTAGACTGACACTGAACATCTCACTGTATCTTAACAGTATGTTTGGTACAAATGCTGTTAAGGATACAGATGTAGAAATCCCAAAAGGCCTCGGTATAAGTTGAGGGAGAAATTCATACTGCTGACTCAGAAGCTGATCCACGCTGAGCATCCTCATCTAGTTCATGAGATTTTTTAAAATGTAATCATAGTTTACATTACACCTACTTTTGTAGGTCAAGACAGACATTTGACTCAGAAGTATATTAATGAAAGGTTATTAAACTGAGCGCCGGTCTTAGTAGAAATGATATTTCTATTTAATCAACAGACGTGTTGGAAAAGCAGTCTAAATCGATGGATACTACAAGCCGATCGGTGCTCTCTGCAGTAGCTGTACCCTCGTGGACAAGCTGGAAGCTACCGGTCATGTTCATTCACATAGAATACTATCGCATCCAAGCAGTGGCGCAGAGCCAGCCAACACTAATGGCTTATTTCCACTAAATCGCATCATCCATCTGCTCCCTGGGTTCCCCAATTCAAAGCCAGGGTGTGGTACCCGCCGCTAGGATGTTTATTATTTATGTGCACACATAAAAGGCGAGCTCTGCCTCTAGATCACCGGGTTGCAAGAAGGCCCCAGAGCAAAAGGTGAAATGAGAATGGGGGAAGGGGATAAGACGATGGGCTGCGCGGAGGAAAAGGAGAGGTCCCACCTCCTCCAGGCTTCTCCCCCCTCCTCTCCCAAGAGTGCATCGACCTCCTTCTCCCTCCTTAGGCAGCCGGGGCCTCGCGTCAACCCTGACCAGGATTGCAGCGGGTGCGCTGTACAGGCCCCTTCCTGGGGCGGCGGGAGACGCACCCATCCCAGACAGAAGCCCCTTACCAGGCAAGAGGATGCGAGACGGCTGCTGCGGGCTTTGGGGGTCCGGACGGCGGCCCGCCCCCCTACGACCTCAGAGCTTGAGCCTGGCTCCCGATCGCAGCACTGCCAGCGGTCGCCCAAACTTCACCGTCTCCCAAGCCTCCGCCAACCCCTCAGCCCACCCAGCAGTGCGCTCAGCTCCCAGCGGCTGGGTCTCACCAGAACCGCCCCCGGGGCGGAACTGGACGCGCGGAGCGGGGCGGGGCCGGGGCGTGGCATCGGCCGGGGCGGGGCTAAGCGGGCGCCGGCGTGGGGTTGCCGCACGTGGGAGGGTGCGGACTGGGCAGGCGGTCGCTGTAGCGCTGCTGGTACCTTCTCCGCTAGGCCGCCCAGAGTCTCCTGGGCGTCTCGCTTCCCCAACCCAAACCGGAGGACACCGCGCCCGCCGCCGACTGTTCCTCGGCGCTCCCATGATCACCCGGTGCCTTTCGGCTGTGCGAGGCCTCCACAGGTACCTCCATTGCGTGCGTTAACCTTGACCGTGGGCAGGGAGGGGTCTTCTGCCCAGGCGGTGTCGAACGCCGCGGCCCAACCTTCCCCGACCGCACCCCCGCCACATTGTTGGCACCCGCCGCCGCCTCATCCCGCCGCGGCCCGCGTGGTCTACCCTGAGGGACACCTGGCGCGGTAACTTGGGGCCACCTTTCCCGCCTCCACTCCCTTGGGAGGGCATCCATTCTCCTTTGTTAAGGACTGCCTCAGCTGCAGTGAACTAGCCCGGTCAGAGGCCTGGCCCGAAATGAATTCAGTGAAGTGATCCGAGTAAGAAAATCATTTGACCTTCGCCCCCACCCGAAACTGCAGAGCTGTCATTAAAAGTGCCGCAGCTGTAACTCGGGAATAACGATTCTCATTTGCTACTCACGTATGGCATTTGTATACCAGTCGTTCAGCGACCACCGGAGATGAGACAGCTATGATTTTGCTTACTTCCGTCCATGTTTTCTAATTTTCATTTCCTCCACACCATAAAATATTCAGACTTTTGCCCAGGCAAATTGACTGAGCCTAAAATGAAGAAAATTACTGCTTGGATATGGTTTTAGGAAGCCTCAGCTGCTGTTTTGGCTTGCTTCCTAGCTCTAACCACACCCCTCTGCAACATCAGTAACAATATGTTGAGAGAATTAAATGCTTGGCACGGATGCTCTGGATCAAATGATTTTCTGAAACACTTTACTACCCTCCCCCCCCCCCAAATCTAGCCTTGAACTGTTAATCCTAGTGAAGACCCACCAGAAGAAAAAAAAAAAAAAGGAAATGTGTGTCTCTTGCTAGCTATCCAAAACTACTATGAAACATATCAGCATGTAATCTTGTTCACAGTTTTCTGCCCTCCACTGCCACTCATCTGTGCAGAGCTTTGTGTTGCTCGGTCCTTACGGTGCATGTAGGGGATGAGAGTAATTATGAAGAGTTAAAGTGATGAATTTGATTATTTCAAGCAGGTGTGTTTTGTTTGTTTGTTTGTGTTTTGTTTTGTTTTTTGGTAGTCTCTCCAGACTGCCAGTGGTATATAGCTGGCAAATGAAGTTATATCAGCATATACAAATCTTTAGATAATGTAAGTGTGGCAGGAAAGAATTAATTTAATCTGAAACAGTGGTTCTCAAACTTTTTAGTCTCAGGACCCCTTTACTTTTCAGAATTACTGGGGACCAGTGAACTTCAGTTTATGTGAGTTAGACCTTTTTATATTACCAATTAGAAATCAAAACTGGGATATTTTAAAGTATTGCTTTTTTTTAAATAGGGATTAACTCATTGCATACAGAATGAAAAAGATAACTATTTTCAAAACCTTTCTTAAAAAATCAGTAAGAGGCCCTCCCTGGTGGTGCAGCTGGTTAAAGCGCAGCACTAAGAATCGAAAGCCACTACCGCATGAGTTCGATCCCTGCCTGCCCCGGAGGTGACCACATGGTATGGCAGACCTCTCCTGACCCGCCCGCTGCTCCCCTCAGCAGTGTACTTCGTTGATCTGCCTGTTCTGCCCCCCACTCTGTCTCTGGTGAATCCGCTCACTGCCCCTGCAACTCTGGCCTGTACCCCAGTTCTGTATGAATAAATAAATCTTTTAAAAAAAATCAGTAAGAAAAATGACATTATATTTTTTGTTTTCCATTTTCACTGTGGTAAAAAATAGATAATATGGCCCGCCCTGGTGGCGCAATGGGTTAGGACGCAGCACTGCAAACTAGCCCCAGACACTTCAGTACGAGTTAGTCCCAGCACCGGAGGTGACCGGCATGGCACTGCAGACCTCTCTCGACCTGCCTCCTGCTCCCCTCAGCAGTGTACTTTGTCTCTCTGCTTATTCTGCTCCCCACTCTGGCTCTGGTGAATCGTCTCACCACCCCTGCACCTCTGGCTTGCAAAAATAAATAAATCTTTTAAAAAAGAAAATATCTAAAATTTATCATTTTAATCACTAATTGTACAACTAGTGACATTTACATACAGAACGTTTTCATCATCATAAACTGAAATGCTGCATCCTTGAATAAAAATTCTCCATTACTCTCTTTCCCAGTCCTGGGTAACCACTAGTTCTTTCTGTGTCTATAAATTTGACTTTCCTAGAAACCTCATAAAAGTAGAATTATGTGATTTTTGACCTTTTGCAACTGGCTTATTTTTTAGTGTAGCGTTTTTAAGGATTATCCATGTTGTAGCATATCAGAATTTCCTTTTTTAAGCTGAATAATACTCCATTGTATAAATAACACATTTCATTTGTCCATTCATCCATTGATGGACATTTGGGTTGTTGCCAGCATTTGGCTATTTTGAAAAATACTACTGTGATCATTAATGTACCTATGTCTATTTGATATCCTGCATTCAGTTCTTTGTGATATATACCTAGAACTATAATAGCCGGATCATATGGTAAATCCATGTTTAATTTTTTTTTTTTTTTTAAAGATTTATTTATTTGTACATACAGAACTGGGGTACAGGCCAGAGGCTCAGGGGCGGTGAGAGGCTTCACCAGCGACAGAGCGGGGAGCAGAACAGGCAGATCGACGAAGTACACTGCTGAGGGGAGCAGCGGGCGGGTCAGGAGAGGTCTGCCTCGCCATGTGGTCTCCTCCGGGGCAGGCGGGATTTGAACTCATGCGGAAGTGGCTTTAGCTTCTCAGTGCAGTGCTTTAACCCGCTGCGCCACCAGGGAGGGCCCCATGTTTAATTTTTTGAGGAACCATCAAAATTACACAGTAGCTGTACTGTTTTACATCAACAGTGAATGAAGGTTTCAATTTTTCCACATCTTCATGAATATCTTTTTAAAATAATAACTATCATAGCAGAGGCATTGTTTGTGCATTTCTCCTAAACAAATATATGACTTTAAAGATAGATGGATTCTTACATGTGCTTTTGCATTTAATCTGTTGCACCATTTTGTTTTGATTTTAAAAGCTGAAGAAAATCCTACCTCTTATAGGTAGTTGGAAACAGGCGTATATTAATAGCCTCTTTTAAATAATCATAGATATTCTTTGATACTGCTTGAAAGTTTGACAAGTGATAGTATTTTTGGGTTTGTTACAATGTAGAATTTGAAACTACCAATTTTTTTTTTAATTCTGTCAGTTAAAATCCATGGATCTCTCTTAAATTTTGAATGGATTTTTTTTTAAAGATTTATTTATTTATGCATACAGAACTGAGGTACAAGCCAGAGGTGCAGGGGCAGTGAGAGGATTCACCAGAGACAGAGTGGGGAGTATAACAGGCTGACTGACGAAGTACCCTGCTGAGGGGAGCAGTCGGTGGGTCAGGAGATGTCTGCCACACCATGTGGGTCACCTCTGGGGCAGGGATCTAACTCATGCTGAAGTGGCTTTACCTTCTTAGTGTTGTGCTTTAACCCACTCTGCCACCAGGGAGGGCCCTAAAATGGATCTTTTACCCATGCATGATTTTGTATTGTCAGGCATTGGCCATTCAAAAGGCGGTAGTTTGCTGCATTATACATGTTTTTTTAAAAAAGATTTGTTTATGCATATAAGAACTGGGGTACAGGCCAGAGATGGAGGGTATGTGAGAGGATTCACCAGAGAAAGAGCGGGGGAGCAGTACAGGCAGGTAGAGTGAAAAACACTGCTGAAGGAGCCAGCGGGATGGGTAAAGAGAGGTCTGCCACACCATGTGGGTCACCTCCCTGGCCTGGAATCGAACTCATGCTAGAGTGGCTGAGGATAGCTTCATAGTGCTGTTCTTCAACACTTTAGGCCACCAGGGATACACGTCTTTTGAAGGAATTTTTAGTAAATATTTAAGTCATATTGCAGTTAACATACACAATAGCAATAGTAGTAGTGGTGGTCATTAACTTAGGACACTTGTGAGTGCCTTAAAAACAGAATCTCTTTGTTTCAAAATCCGTACCCTCCAAAAAGAGTCAATATGAAACAATAAGGAATACTCTTTATGTTCTGTTGTTAAGTGTATTTCTGTTTCCGTTGACACTGTTTAAGGGCTCATTCTGGTGTTAAAGGGGTTTATATGTTTTTGCTTAACTAATCTATGATTTCACTTGGATTTTCCTGTTGACAGAGCTACTATTCTCCCTTCCCAAAGCCAGTTTGCAACAGGATCACTGACCCAGTATTAAGCTAGTTTATTGGGAATAAGTGGAATAGGAATTTGGAGATTAAATTGTAGTTACTGTTCAACTTCCTTGTGACCTTAAGTAAATCATACAATCTCTTGGATTGCTCTTGAATTTATTTTGTGAAGTGAAAAGGACTAGACTAAATGATATCTAAGATTTCTTTCAATTCTTGTTGCCATAGCAATTAACTCAAGAGCATTTCTTCTTCTACTTAACAGCCAGATTGTATATCAAATGAGCCAAGCAAAATCTAATGTGAAGGATGGATGGCATGATGAAAAAAAAGAGAGAGAAAGTTATTTCAATAATATTTATTTTAAATTACAGCTATAATAACTTTAGTTTCCTTTTTTATTTTTATTTATTTATTTTTTTAGATTTATTTATGCATAAAGAACTGGGGTACAGCCAGAGGTGCAGGTGGTGAGAAGATTCACCAGAGACAGGGTGGGGAGCAGAACAGGCAGATCTACAGAAGTACACGGCTGAGGGGAGCAGCAGGGAGACAGAAAAGGTCTGCAGCACTATGTGGTTCACCTTCTTGGCTGGGGAACAAACTGGAGTCAAAGCAGCTGCAGCTAGCTTCATAGTGCTGCACTTTAACACATTTAGTCACCAGGGAGAGCCCTAGTTTCCTTTTTTTTTTTTAACTAAAAAATATAAAGCTTGCTTTTTTTGCATTATGATAGCAATGTATGTTCATTATAGAAAGCTTACAAAATATTGACATGCAAAAGAAAATCTATCCATTCAGAAGACCCAATTAATAACATCTCCCAAAATTGGACCCTCCCTAATGGTGCAGCAGGTTAAAGCACAGCACTAAG